AGACTTGGGCGTATGTCCGGATCGGGTTTTGGAAGACCCGGGGAGCGTTTTGGCGCCTATTGTGGAAGTTAGCATTTTAGAAGAAATTTCATAAGTTTGGGTTGAAATGCATTTCAGTGTTATCGATGTCCGTTTGGAATTCCGAGTCTGGGAGTAGCTCCGTATGGTGATTCTGGAGTTGGGAGCGTGATCAGAAGTGAATTCGGAGGTCCGTAGGTCATTTTGGAGTCATTTGGCTAAAGATAGAAATTTTAAGGGTTTTGAGAAGTTTGACCGAGAGTTGACTTTTTGATATCGGGGTCGGATTCCAATTCCGAAAGTTGGAGTAGGTCCGTAATGTCAAATATGACTTGCGTGCAAAATTTGAGGTCAATCGGACATGATTTGATAGGTTTAAACATCGAAAGTAGAAGTTTGAAATTCTAAAGTTCATAAGGCTTGGATTGGAGGTCGATTCGTGGTTTTAGCGATGTTTGATGTGATTTAAGACCTCGAGTAAGTCTGTAATGTGTTATGGGACTGGTTTGTATGATTACACGGGGTCCCGGGGGCCTCAGGTGGATTCCAGGTGGTTAACGAAGCGAAAATGGAATTTTGGAAAGGGCTGGTTGCTGGTGTAACCACACCTGCGAGACTAGGGCCACAGGTGCGGAGCCGCAGAAGCGGAAATGGACTGCTAGGCTGGGACCGCAGATGCTGTCGTTTTGCCGCAGATGAGGGACCACATCTGCGGAGGAGAGGGCGCAGAAGCGGAATGGGCTGGGAGCCCTGGACCGCAGAAGCGGCGTTTGGTTCACACCTGCGAGACCGCAGAAGCGGTCAAGAGACCGCAGGTGCGGAAATGCTAGAGGCAGTGAGGTTCTTTTAAATCGGGGGTTGGGTTCATTTCAACCCCATTTCTTCCATTGGAGCCGATTTTGGAGAAACTCTGAGGTGCCATTTTCACCACCAAGCATGAGGTAAGTAATTTATGCTAATTTTTAGTTAGATACATGATTATATACGGATTTGGACATGGAAATTGGTAGAAACTTGGGGTTTGAGGGAAGACCTAGAAAATTCGTATTCTTGGATTTTGACCACGATTTTGGGTATGGAATTAAGAGAAAATCATATATTTGAGTTCGTGAGTTCATGAGTAAACTTTATCTTTGAGAAATTTCGGAATCCGGACACGTGGGCTAGAGGGCGTTTTTGTCAACTTTTCGATCGGGGTTAGGAATTGTTATAAATTGAATTATAATGAGTACCTTAGCATATATTAATGGGTTTACATAATTATTTGCTAGCTTTGGAGCATTGGAGCATCGGTTTGAGTCGTCGGAAGGGCTTGGAAACCGGTTTTGGAGCTTCGGAGCGAGGTGAGTCTCATTTCTAACCTTGTAAGAGGAAATTGTCCCCATAGGTGATATAATTGGTTATGTGTTTCTATTTGTGGGGGCTACGTATGCACGAGGTGATGAGAGTCCATGCGTAGCTACTATTATGTTTAAGTCCGGGTAGTCTAGGGCCCAAAAGCTTGCTATATTTGGACTATTTGTAATCTTATTGACAGCTTGAATTGCTTAAATCACATTGAATTAATAAATGAATTTCTAAAAAGATTTAAACTTCATATTCTTAAACTGTTAAAAGAGAATTGACTTTTCTTTGGATAATTGTTCCATGTTGACTTCTTGATTGACTATCTGTGTGTGTTTATTTTTGGAACGGGCCGAACGCCTCGGTAGATTAGATAGATGCATCTATGGTTCGTGCCGTTCGACCGTCGGCAGTGCACAGTTTAAATATTGTTGGATCGGACCGTACGACCTCGGCATGATATGTGCATGCTTGTATTGCTTGCCTGAGAATGTTATGTGATAATATTTGCCTTCCCTGGCTAGACATAGTTGATAAGCATAATGAAAAGTAAACCTTGGAAATCCGTATTTATTTGAGATGTTGTTTACCTGCTATCTGATTTTACGAGTTTATAATTGCTTTATAAAAATCCATGATTTCTTCACATTTTCACTATATTATTATTGGACCACTAGTAAATGTTAAAGTCGACCTCTCGTCTCTACTTCTTCGAGATTAGACAGGATACTCATTGGGTACACGTTGTTTTCGTACTCATACTACACTTGCTGTGCATTTATGTTGCACAGGCACATACATCTCTAGTGGCCTAGTGGGCGCAGCAGCATGGTTGATACAGATACTTAGGTGAGCTGCACTTCCTGAGATGTTCCGCAGCCAGCAAAGTCTCTTTCAGATTACTGTAATTATTTTCTGTCCAATATTGTATTCTGGACGGTTGTTGTATTACATTATTTCTTAGAAATTGCTCATGCACTTGTGACACCGGGTTCTGGGATGTCTATGGATCTATTCAAAAATTTTAAAAGTTGTTAGACGTTTCATTATTTATTCAGAGGAATTTATTATGTATTGTTTAAACGTAAAAGAAGTGATTTCGAAAATATTTAAAACGAGAATTTAATTAAGTATTTTAGTTGTCTTGCCTGACAGCGGTGTCCGATGCCATCACGACCCTTAGTGAATTTTGGATCGTGACAATGATTTGCCTGTGTTATATAATTAAAATGTACCTTGGTCTCTTATAAAACTGTACTGCCGATCGAATAAATTGTTGTTTGGTTGCCGAACAATCGAAATCTCAAGATTACAAAGTAGAGGTTTGGTTATTGCATTAGTTTCTAGAATTATTTTGTTTTATGGTTGTTGTTATAGTATCATTAGTACTTTTACTATGATGATGATTATTGCAATAGACATTAATCATGATGTCACATGCATATATCTATATTTGTTACCTGATGGTATTTGGGCTAAGTTAATCGCATTTTTGCAAAGTTTGGAGTTTGTTTCAAACAAACATTTAAAATTTGTCATTTGTTCAAAAAGAAATTTCATTTAAAAATTGTTATTATTTTCCTTAGAGATTTAATATTGATTCAATGTAAAATTGCTTTCATCTCTTCTAACAGATTACGTACCTGATGACTCGCTCACACAACCGGTAATGCTAATATGTTTTACTAATTAATTCAGAATACTTTCAAACAAGAATGTTACTTATTTACTATTATACGTAGATTGCTACTTATGTTATGAGAGCTTAATTTGTTCAGCAGATACGATTGGCGATTTAAATTAATTATGATTTCTCCCATGTTAAATAAATTCTTTATTTGTCTAGAGTGGTAAGAGGAATAAAGTTACTGTTGGAGCTATTGCATTTTATTTCATCTTATACGCTCATGTGGTTGAAGCTCTATCTTAGAATTAGACATTCATCTTCATGTTGGGTTCCTGAGAGTAGAGAATTTTTGAAAGCTAATCATGTTTATTTGATTATCACAATATTTTATCTCATATGACTAACTTACAAATAATATACAGCTAAATTCAAGTAAAAATTCATCTTCGAATCTCTCAAATAGCTTGCATGGGTTCATTCTTTGTCCTAAGAGTTAAATTTCCAAGCCTAAATGGTATGGTCGTTGCACTTGCTTTCCTAGGAGGGGGAAACTGAAATAGTGTCATTTTTGGCACAAAATACGTTTCTACTGTTAAAAAAAGTTACATTTCTACATAAAACGCAGTATAATACTGCGTTTTACTTTAACGGAAAGTTAGCCATTAAATTTAAACGCAGTATTATACTACGTTTTATTAAAAAATTAATTTTTTTATAGGAAAACGCATTACAATACTGCGTTTTTCTTAAACGCAGTATTGTACTGCATTTCCCTACAAAAAAATATAGGGCCCCTATATTATACTGCGTTTAATTAAATCCCTATATTTTATTATAGGAAAACGCATTACAATACTGCGTTTAAGGAAAACACAGTATTGTAATGTGTTTTCCTATAATAAAATATAGGGCCCCTTCTTCTTCCCACGATCACGACAGAACCTCCATTTTTAAAAAAACAATCCCCACCACTGCTAGTCCCCCCTTCCCCCCCGCGAATTAAAAAAAATCTTGGGCCCCACCAGTCACACAAAAAGCGAAGAGTGTAGGTCCCGCATACAACACAAGCCTTGGATTCCTTCTTTCGGGTTCAAAAATTCGATTTGGGTCTATTTCAAAAAACTTAAATCGAGGTATTTCAATTTTGTTTATGTCGAAACTCGTAGAGCATATGCATATTTGTTTTGTTGAATGTGTTTCCACGTTGATTTGTGTTATGTTTGTGTTTAAATTTGTATGTTATTTTTACCCGAATTGAATTATTAGCCTTGAGACAAAAAATAATTAAAACTTGATAAATAATTTTTATTGTTAATGTTATGTTTTTATTTGCTTAAATTAAATAAATATTATTTATTTAGTTTGTTGTTCATATGTATGTTATATTTGTTGTTTTTATATGTAATAGTGACCTTTTAGCGTAGTAAAATATAGAGTCTTTTAGCGTAGAGTCTCTGTAGTTTAAGTATGTACTAACTACAAACTCTATCCAATTACACTTATAAAATTAATTATTTAATTTATAAAAATAAACTTACAAAACTAACAAATTAATATATGTTGTCAAATTAACTCAAATATCGAGCCTGAAACCCATAGATAATTACTTAGTCCAATTCAATAATTAATTATTTAATTTATTAAACTATCCAAATTTTAAACTTGTTGAAATTGACACACATAATAATTAGGGATAACTTGGTGCTACTGAGCCTCAAATATCAAGCTTGGAACCCATAGATAATTACTAATTAAGGATAGTTTGGTGCGACCGGGCCTCAAATATCGAGCCTGGAACCCATAGATAATTACTCAGTCCAATTAAAAAATAATTATTTAATTTATTAAACTAAAAAAATACTAAAAATATTGAAATTGACATACATAATAATTAAGGATAACTTGGTGCAACCGGGCCTCAAATATCGAGCCTGGAACCCATAGATAATTACTCAGTCAAATTAAATAATTAAAACACACAATTAATATTGTTTAAATTATAGTAGATGACATGGACTTGCCGCCTGTGCATCCTGGACCAGCCGAGGATCAGATATTAGTATTGCAGAGCGACCATAGGTCCTCCTATGTATGGGAGGGACATCTATTGGATCAGACTCTCCGCGCCAGGAGACCTGGCGATTTGTGGGACTTCTTGAAGCAGAGACATTTCCATCCCCGCGTAGTCGAGCGCCTAGAGGCTACGGGCTTCCTTACGATTTTTCGGATTGGGCGGATGCAGCTCGATTGGTCTCTCATCACGACGTTGATAGAGCGGTGGCGACCGGAGACACACACTTTTCACTTGCCCACTGGAGAAGCCATCATCACGCTTGAGGATGTTCAGGTTTTGTATGGGCTACGTGTAGATGGATTGGCCGTTGCACTGCCCCAGTACATGAGAGCTATGACGCGTCCCCAGTATTTGGATTTGATGGGGGCAATATACTGGTTACAGACCACAGGGTGAGGCTGCACTTAGAGGGGGCAGTCGCGTTTCTATGACAGCTATCAGAGAGCATATGGAGGTATTGCACCCAGACATTACCGGCGAGATAGAGGCTATCCATATTGAGCGGTATACGAGGTTGGCGTTGCTCCTTCTTTTTGGGGGTGTCTTGTTCCCGAACACTTCGGGAAATCTAGTGAGTATGCGCTGCATCATCTGCAGCAGCTAGATGAGTTATCCTTGTACAGCTGGGGTGCTGCTATTCTAGCATACCTGTACAGGAGTATGTGCCGGGCGAGCATGGGCAGCCAGGTGGACATATGTGGATTTCTGCCGCTTCTATAGTTGACAACATTTTCGAATACTTTGTTCATTACTCCGAATTCTATATGGTCAAAATGACTCTTAAATTTTACGTCAACCTTTTATCTTAGGTTTGGGCCTGGCAGCGGATCCTGCCATTGTAGCCACCTCTACCACCACTAGAGCCGGGTGTAGCACCTCCGTTTCTCCCTCTAGCTACGAGGTGGGTTCTCCGGCGTGGGAACTACCGAGGGACTGATACTCATCATAATCTACCTCTTGTCAGATGTGTTAGATATGCTGGTGGCCGGATAGGTAAATATGTACCTAAACTTACTTATTATAAATTCACTTGTGTTGTGCATACTCACTTTTATGTTATTATTTGATAGTTCATCTGGACGCCATACAACGACGAGTTGCTAGCTCAGCTGCCCGATTATTCCTGAGTCGACCGACTACTTTGGAGCACTTCCGTCCCGATGATCTTCTTCGATGTGGTTGAGCATCATGCCACAGAGCGTGTGCTTCGCCAGTTTCACCGTCCCCAGCCTATAACGGGGGAGCCTGCATGGGTGCCTACACATTATCAGCGGGATGATCGTACCAGGGTGGACGATGCATTTGTAGGATGGCTAGAGCAGCAGGTCCATATTTGGGACCAGCGAGAGTACCATATTCCGCCACCACCTTCACATATCCAGGAGGTCATTATTGAGCTGCATACGTCATGGTATCGCCGTCACACCCGACTGATGATCGGGAACCCCATTCATGTACTTGGCGATTGGTACAGACCATACCCCGGGAGGCACGCGGCACTGGTATGTTTGTGGCTTATTAATATCTTATAATTGTGATATAGCGTTATTTAATTAATATTTCAAATGTTGCGCAGGCTATTGGGCATCACATGTTCTACCAGTTGGGACAGGAGATGCAGCAGCATGGCGACAGTGCTGTAGTCGTTGAGTATGGCCGGCGGGTGGAAGAGCTGGCTCGTCGAACCCTGTATCAAGCGAGAGATGGCGCGAGGTTGGATCACGAGGCTGAGTATGCAGCGCTAGAGGAGTACCATCGGGGTAGGGCTGTCCCACGAGGCAAGGGTAGGGCATAAGGGAGGGGTGCCCCACGAGGTCGAGGGGGACGGCGAGGAGGTGGTNAATTAATATTTTAAATATTACATAGGCTATTGGGCATCACATGTTCTACCAGTTGGGACAGGAGATGCAGCAGCATGGCGACAGTGCTGTAGTCGTTGAGTATGGCCGGCGGGTGGAAGAGCTGGCTCGTCGAACCCTGTATCAAGCGAGAGATGGCGCGAGGTTGGATCACGAGGCTGAGTATGCAGCGCTAGAGGAGTACCATCGGGGTAGGGCTGTCCCACGAGGCAAGGGTAGGGCATAAGGGAGGGGTGCCCCACGAGGTCGAGGGGGACGGCGAGGAGGTGGTCCCCAACAAGGGGGCATTGAGGCACCTGTCGACCCACCTGTTGAGGTACATGATGAGGATCTTGGAGATGATCAGCCAGGTTATTTCCCTCAGCTAGATGAGCCTTCCAGCAACATGCCATTGTACAGCCTTCAACTATCTCTGCCAGCATCGCAGGTCACCCTGTCAGATGCATTGTTGATCACATGTACATTCGACGGAGATGTAGACCAGTTCTTTTCAGGCCCATCTACTACAACTGAGGATCGGCCGACCCGGTATGTAGATAGCGGGCGTAGGTTGAGTTATGCCTCATCCCCGGCGGTTGATCCGGATCTACCACAGGCGCAGGTATGTTTTTATTACTGTAAAATTTCAATTTGGTTTCTTTTCCTTAATGAATTGCCATTAATTAATTTTTAATTTTCTTATTAAGGCTTCGTCCCAGCCTATCACGAAAGCCACTGTATGCGCTGATGAGGACACCATGGATGCATATACTCAGGAAGCCGACGAGACCACGGTGAGGTAACATTTTTGACTTAACACGTACAATACTAATATACATTTTCACATGCTAAGCTTAGTACTTGTTTTGTAGGTTGCTGATGGCCCGACAGCCTCTTTTACCGATCCTTCCAGTTGTACTGTCGATGTTGTTGTGCATCCTCACATAAAGAGGCGACTTGATGATGATGATCGAGATAGTGTACCCGGGCAACAGGGGATGCGACTCAGGCCAGCAGCAGCACTGAAGCACACAGGCTGCGGGACTCATTGATTTACTTATGTTTGTACTTTGTGTAAATATTACATTATGTATATAATGGCAACAATTCTATTTTAATAACAATTTTATTTTAACTACGGTTGAACAACAATTTTAGTTTAATAGTACAACACAAACACACACATATCAGACCTAACACAATACAAACAATACAAGTAATAAAAACACTTGACAAGGGAAACATAAAGATACACTACTACAATCAACACGTACATGCCATTGTTTAGTCACGACCGCCTAGTATTCTCTGCTCCAACCACTTGAGCTAGTCTTCCAACTTTTTTTTTCTCTTCTTCCACCTCCTTGAGTTTCGCTTTCAACTCCGCAATTTCTTGCTTGGATTTGCGCTCTCTATCCCACTGCCCCGCACACACATTATGAAGATGATACAACTTGTCTTTGTAGTATTCCTACTCACATGGTTCATCAATCCATACCTCAAAATTGCATATAGGTACGTCGGGTTGCCTATAAAACTTGTTCATACACGCCTAGTAGTGGCGTCCAGCTTCTTCCCAACAATCGTACATCATGCATTTATTTCCGCATTCGCACCTTGGGACATAAAGGGGTTGTTGAGACATTTCTTAAAGAGAAACTTTGGTTTTATGGAAATATATGCTATCGGTTGTTGTTAAGTGCCAAAAATAACTAGAATGCGCCCGTTATTTATAGGCAAGATTTCACATAAAACGTAGTATTATACCACACTTTACATACACACAAAATATAGTATTATACCACGCTTTGCATATTAAATTTTTTCTGAAACAAAATAGCTTTTTACATGGTTTTCAGCTTTTTCAGAACGACATGACAACTCACAAAACGTAGTATTATACAACGCTTTACATATTAAATTTTTTTGCAACAAAACAACTTTTTCTGCAGTCGTTTCAGCTTTTTTGAGAACGACAAGACAACTCACAAAACGTAGTATTATACAACGCTTTACATATTAAATTTTTTTGCAACAAAACAACTTTTTCTGCAGTCGTTTCAGCTTTTTTGAGAACGACAAGACAACTCACAAAACGTAGTACTATACCACACTTTACATATAGTTTTTTTTAGTTTTAGATTGGTCTTCTTTAGTAACATCAATAAGTTGAATATCTAGCAATTCTATGAAGAAAATGCTACATTATTTAAATAATTGCAACAATTCTATTTTAACAATATTTTTATTGTAACAGAAAAGACTTCAACAATTTTATTTTAACATGGCAACACAAACACAAGTGATAAACCTAAAGATATACATAACAAAAACAAACAGTACAAGTAATGAAAACACTTGACAAGGGAAACATAAAGATACACTACTACGCTCAACACGTACAAGCCACTGTTTAGTCACGACTGGCTAGTACTTTCTGCTCCAACCACTCGAACAAACATATCAAAAGGTCATGTTAAAAAATAAGATGTAACAAGATTGTGGAACATAATTTTATTTGATAGATATTGCAACATACACAAGTACAGACATGCATTACAAATAACAAAACAAAAACAAAAGACTAGGGGTATCATTGATAGTTGGGTACATTCGACGAACTTGCACCAATAGCTGGATTACCACCACCACGCACACCACCTGAAGGACATTTACGACGGTCGTGTCCTGTTTGCGAGCATATGCCACATTTACGCGCATACATGGTGTCACCAACATCTATTTGGTTCCGTATACGCGTTCTCTTTTGCACTTGCAGCTTGCACAAATAGTCCTCGTTACACACCATCTTAAAAAGGTTCCGGCAGCCAATAATGCTCAGCACCTAATGGCTGCAACTGCCCACTATACATGTCTACGTATGCAGCAACACTGTATTGCCTATCGATATAGTTAGTTGCCCCAAAACCATGAAAGCACTTCAAGGCATGTGCGTACGGCATGTGGTAGATGGTCCATTTCCCACATGAACACAACCTTCTGGCTTCATTCACCGTCTGTAGATTATTCCTATGGTGTCCGCGGATAGCGGTCTTAACTTCAAAAACACCCCGGTCGTGATCGTACTGTAAAACTGAATGTCAATGTGCTCGCCTCATGTACCTTTCAAATCTTCTCATAGGTATTGGCATAAATTGAACACCCCCTGTCCATCAATGCTGACGCAGCTCCGCGGGCAGACTTCAACTAACCTCTCCGCACTCTGTTTGAATGTCATGCGGACTATGGCAGTGACAGGCAATCCACGGGCAGACTTCAACAAGTCGTTGAACGACTCCGACACATCTGTAGTCAGGGCTCCCCATCGTCTGCCACCATCAGCATGCAATGTCCACATGTGAAGCTCATGTCCTATCGGCCAAGCATAGGCTCGTGGATCTAACTGTTGGATCGCTTCCATGCGCCTCATGAATATGCACTGCTGGTGCTTAGTTGCAGCCATCCACGTTAAGTAACGGTGGTATGCCCGTGGATCTTCTGAAAATTGGCCTTCAGGTGCCTCACACAGTAACGGTGGTATGCATAGGGTCCCTGTCATTCAGGCAGGTGCCGTACAGAACTTAAAATACCACCATGTCGATAAGATATTAGACAAATACCTAAACGTTGTGTGACAACGTGCTGCTTCAAGTGGTTCAAAAAAAGCGTCCACGTCTCTTCGCTTTCTTTGGCACAAATGGAAAAAGCAAGTGGAAATATTTGTCCGTTGGCATCTACTACAACTGCAATCAAAACTTAATATCATACTTTCCATAGACATGAGTACCGTCTGTTGATACCCAATTTTTTCCTATGTATTTCTATACAAAATACTTTCAAAATAGTATGTACATGCATATATAAGCATGCCCCAAGAGTTTTGGTATTTTTCCTAATTCTTAAAGATTTTTAAAATCAATTTATTGTCTATTTTAGCAGTACAAAATCCATAATTATTTCAAAAATCATCAATTTTGGTGAATAATTTATTTTATTCCCATATTTATACCAAAATATAATTAAGGTGATTTTTGCATATATTTACAAATTTATTTGGTACTTTTTAAGTTAAATTGCATATAATGGCAATTTTAGCCTACTTTAAGATTTAATAGCATTTTATAATTGTATTGGTCCCAATATTTTAAATTAATATTTATATATTATTAATTGGGTCAGTACTTTTAATTTACTTTTAAAATCATTTTTATAAAATAAAAAGGAAAACTGGCTATTTAACATTTAGCCTCATTTCATTTCAATTACAACCTATTTACATTTTAATTTTA